TCACACGGTTGTTGTGAGGATGAAAGGCCATGTGCTTGAGCTCCCAGGAGGAAAGGTGGGATATAAAGGAACTAAAAAGCCCAGGGGTTCCCAACATTTTGATGGCATCTTTGGAAACTGCCATGGGAACCCATTTCACAGAAGAAGAAAATGAAAACAATATAATAAAGGCAACTGCCTGCATTCCTGATTTTTTTTTTTAATGGGAGGGACGGTGGACCTTAAGTTGGCAACAAGGGGATGTCTGATGGTGCTATGGCGCCCACGAGCGCCACACTGGGGACTCCAGTGCTGGCCATACTGCCACACCCCAACTCTGTATGGAGAGCCAAAGGATAGAAAAGGGGTGCCTAGCTACATTAAAAGGCCTCTTTTCAGAATTGGGGCCAGTGGTGCATGGGATGTCAGGAATAGGGCTGGTCCCATAATCCTCATCTCCCCTACAGACATTTGTTCTACATGTGGAAGGGGAGATCTGAAAACATCTGAAAACAACATTTGTAGTCAGCCTATAAAACAAATACTCTTAAGAGGTCATCTTCACCTTCTTTGAATGGATGGCATCTCTGTAATATGCATTGTTTCTTTCCATACAATTTCTGAAACCAGCTCAGCTGAACTTGTTTATCAGAGAAGGTTTCTGTTTCTGACTGAAATTTTATATGTAGTGTCCCCGTTGGCCTGCATTTCAGTTCCTTTTCCTCTTGGTTAGCATCTATCATTCAGACATCTGGAACGTGCCCAGGCACAGATCATCATCTTAATTTACACACTGCACCCACTGTTTAGTAAAAGATGTGGACCTCGACAGACTTAATTATGATAGAAAATGTGTTGTTCTTTTTCAAAGGCAACATGGAATCAGAGAACTGTTCAGTTGGAAGGGACCCTGAGGGTCATCTAGTCCAACCCCCTGCAATGCAAGAATCTCAACTGAAGCATCCACGGCAGATGGCCATCCAGCCTCTGCTTAAAAACCCTCAATGAAGGAAAGTCCACCACCTTCTGAGGGAGTCCATTCCACTGCCAAACAGCTCTTATTGTCAGAAAGTTCTTCCTCTTGTTTAGCCACCTTTGGTCGGAAAAAATATGCCCATGTCAAGCACATCCACTGATTTGTCAAATGCCTTTAGCATTAACTACAGATTGTATGTATATTTCTCTCTCTTGGTTTATCACTATAAAGAATCAAGTGTGGGGTAGTGATTACAGTGTTGGACTAGGACCTGAGAGACTCAGATTCAACGCACCATGAAAATTTACTGGGTGACCTAGGGCCAGTTGCTATCTCTCAGCCTAGCCTACATCACAGGGTTGTTGTGAGGGGAAAACAATTTATGGTTTTCCTGAGCTCTTTGGGAGAAAAGTGGCATATAAATGGAATAATAAATAAACAAAATTGCAGCATAACCTTTTCCCCGAAAGCCAAAGCAAGTAAGGTTTTTACTCTGCATTGTTGGAGGAAGGGTGGTTTGTGCCTCTCTCTTTTTTTACGTTACTGTGACACAAAATGTGCTTAGCAAAATGTGATGGAGATCAAATTCTCAAGCCCTTAAAACTTGCATTTGGTTCTGCCAACGTTATTTAAAAAGTTAGAAAACTTTGGCCACAATCCAGAACACATTTTGATTTTTTGATTTTTTTTAAGGAAATGAATATATTAATTTATGCAGACACCATATTGAGTGTTGTTTGTGAGCGTTTTATCTAGCTAACTTTTGTAGACACAGTATAATTACATAATGGTACATGCAATTCACATATTCATTCTGAATAAAAGAAAAAGATCGACCCTTTTAGAAACCAGAATTAGTGGGCTCTTATATCACAGGAGACCCATATTCCTACCACAGAGTTAACAATTCCCAGAGAGAACTATAGCAATTGCAGCTCTGTGGGGAGAATGGACAACAGTCTCCCAAAAGCTCTCAGCTCACTTTATAAATTAACAGTTCCCAAGATTATTTGGGGGAAAGCTTAGGGTGGCAATTAACCTTCTCCTACTCAGAGTAGACCTGTTGACATTAACGGATGTTGAGAAGGGAGTACAAAACTGGTGATTAAAGGATTTGGTTCAACAAGACAGCTCTTTTATAGGGACTGAATCCTTCCCCTCTCACACACATTGTAAAGCAAAAAACCAACAACCCTGACTTTGCCATGTAATAGTTTAAAGAAGAAGAAGGAGGAGTCCACATTTTACTTTTATTGTTAGGTGTACCTTGAAAAATGTGGTGTGTAAATCTAAAAACTGCAGTTGATGAAGCTACTTACCTATGCTATCATTCCTGAAGATAATCTCATTGGTGATGGGGGGAAGAGGTAACCCCACAAAAGAATGTCAAAAAATGTCCACAACCTGGTTCCCACCAGATGTTTTAGACTACAGCTTCCATCATTACTGATAACTGACCACTCTGGAGTTGATGGGAGTTTTAGATTACAAGCATGTGGAGAGTGCCAGGTGGGTGCAAGCTGACCTATAAGAACTCAACTTCCAAGGGAAAGGAATTTTTTAATTCTAGAATGCAAAATGCATATTGTCTGCTTTGTGCTCATTAGTCCAACTATGTTTAATCTCTGGAACACTGGCCTTTCAGAAGATGCAAATATGACCATGCTTTGAAATGCACCCTATTTCAGTCAATGTGAATTTGGGACAGTCAGTGCACAGTGTGTTAAATTTACGATGGAAGTGCTGACACAACTAACGCAAATATAGCAGCGCTGTTGAACACCGCTGTAATTATGCCACATTATATTAAAACATATGGTATAATTTAGCTTGGCATAAATGTATCTTTCTTTGTCACTGCATTGCTCATCATTTTTGAAAATTACAAATCTGTAATAGTAAAGGTAATTCATAGCTTAGCTGTAGTATTAAAATGATGGAGTGTTTCCCTTTTTGCTCAATCATTGATCTTTCAATTTTTTTGTTCTGTTTGATAGCATTAATCACATTTATTAGCCAAGTGCTTATCATAAAGAATGTTGAGTGTTTCTATGCTGTTACTTTCATCTTCAATTAAGCTACATTTTCCCTCCTGCCACTGTCCCTTACGCACCAACAAAGTATTACTGATTCTAATTGGAAATCAAGTTAATGAATTCCTGGCAGTGTCAATAACCCAGACAGGCGCCTCCCCACCCCCCACCCCCACCCCCCACCCCCACCTCCTTCGACCAATACAAAATCTAATCGAATGCTTTCATTGAAAAGGGAAAATAACGGAAAATACCTTGATTAACATTAACATAATACTTTGCTCTGTAGAAAATTATTGTGGCACATTGGCACAGGACCGAATGCATGGGCAAAATTAATAATGCATTCCTTAATTAGCATTTCAGGTTTTTTAATCCTTTTTTAGGGGGGAGCCCAGATTAGAAAATTGGGGAGGTTTGGGCTGGCAGAAAATGGTTGAGTAGTCAGGGGGGAGGGACCAGTTTGAGTGTCTTTGCCTTGTAACGGGAAATGCACATGCCCTGGTACATGGAACAAGATGTGCCACGTAGAACAGGGCAGTCCACTTCACACACACAACATTCTGCACCAGGCTTATCTGAAATAATTCCTTATGCTGGTCTATGACTGTAATAAAGATGTGAATTGGAAATAATTCCAACAAAAACAGAATTCTCTGACCTATACAACATTCAGCCAATGGGTACACATTTGTGTTGTCTTTAGATTTTATTGTTTCTTCTTCTAGTTGTGCAGAAGGGCCATCAACTATTAATGGTGTTTCAAGGGACAGCTTGTCCCTGGCTTCCAGGCAAATTCTCTTCAGCTGCCCACTCTGAGATGTGCTTGTTTACTTGAAGAGCTGAAAAGATTCCATGCTCTGTGGGTTATATACCAGAGATGGGGAGCCTATGATTCTCCATATGATGTTGGACTCCCACTCTATAATCAGTCACAACTAGCCAATACAATGGTCAGAGATGATGGAAACTGTGGTCCAACAACATCTGGAGACACTGGCACCAACTATAGGGGGCCCTGGGGGCCTGGGCACCCACACCGCAGGGCTCTGACATGACTGCCAGACTTCTGAGGCGATGTCCGAGGTCCTGCGAAACCTCTGACGCAACTTTTGGTAGAAACCAGAAATCACATCAAAGGTCTTCAGGGCCTCAGAAGTACCGCTGTGAAGCGCCAATGTAACATGACATCACAATGTCATGATATCACATTATGTCACGGGTGATGCCATTGGGCACCCATAATCTGAGGCCAAAGCTGGCACCCCTGTGGAGAGTCACTGGTTCCCCATTTCCTGTTATACAGCATAGGCTCTTTCCACATCATTGGGAATTCTGGATGGTGGATTTCCTGGTCAGAGCTCATATATTCTGTATGCATGTAGTCTTTAATCAGTCCTTTGATCATATTTGTCAATCTTCTCCATCATTATTTTTCCCCCCATTTCCATGGGTATGTCACATGCACAAGTCTAGAATCCATTATGCAGGAACTTCATTTAGCAATTGTCCCTGAACATCTTATTCCTGTGGGGTCTATTGCTATACTGTAAAAACAAAACAAAACAAAACAAACCCATAACTTACACCTATTACAAGGGAAAGAGTAACCACAGCCTTTCAGTGCTGTTTGATGGAACTTTATTTTGTAATCCAATATGTTGGATGTTCAATTCTATATATCAGCAGCAGCTAAGAATATATGGATGTTGCTAGATCTTTCTTCTCCTTACAGATGGGCTTTCGCTTTTCTTCTGCCCAATTGTATCTTAGTAAACTCTTGACCTCACAGACGTCCTGTGTTGGGGTTATATTTGTGTCCTTTCTTTTGTTTGTTTTATGTATTGTTGTTTCCCCCCCACCTTAATGCATAATTGAACATTTCATCTAATTAACTATTATTATTTTTAAAAAAATCTTCCTGTCAGGGTAGGGAAGAAATCTTTTCATGACCCTTTGCCAGCGATGAAAAATAATTGCTCAAAACCCAATCTTTGCACACTCTTTTCCAGGTGGAAGTGAATCTTCATGGGATAAAGAGAAACTTCAGTCACCCATCCCACCGGGATCCCATCACGGGGTCAGCCATGCGACTCTGGCAGGGCAGCCCAGTCTGGGAAGTGCTCATCCTCTCAGCCCTCTGCAGCAAAACCATCTGCTCACAAACAGTATGTATGATGGTATCCCCTTTTCATCCTCCACATGGCCATGAGAAGTGTGGGAGGAAAGCTGAAAACATTAAAAAGCTGGACTGAAAAGCCTACCACACTTTCATCCCCTGCAAAAGTGTGTGGAGATACTTAGAAACATTTTGAGGGCCAAGTGGATTCTAAGAATTGTCAGGATGGTGTTCTTAAATACAAGGTATTTACATCATCAGGAAAACCTTAATACTACTTCAGGTGACCAATGTGGCTGCTCTCAACAGCCCAGTCAACATTCAAGGAACATAATTTCTCTGGGCTGTGGCGGCTGGTTCTTTAGGGCAAATGGCCCAACCAATCTCAGTCTTGATTCTTTCTAACCCACCTGTCTGCCTTCCTGCTTACAACAAATCCAGGGGGTAGGAGGATGAGGTGAAGGTAGAATGTGTTGGCTCAACCTGCCTTTGGCTCTGGCTCCACCTACTGTTGGGCTCCATTCTTTCTGCCCTACCAGTTGCAATGTGTACCAGCCACCACTGTCCTTGGAAATCAACTGTCTTTATCATTTTGGTAAAGGAAAGGAAAGAACCTTGACTGTCCCTTATTTAAAGGTGAGACCACAATTAACAAAATGTTAGAATTCACCCACCCCATTAATCCAATCTTTGGGGGTGTTATTAGCCCCCTCAAACTTGGGCCTAATACTTAGGACCAAAGCTATAACTTGTAGTCCTAGATCTTTCATGAGTTACACTGAAATCTAAGCACTTTTGCTTGGGTTTGTTTACTTTTGTGTGTGTGCAAACAAATGGGAATAATAATAATAATTTATTATTTATACCCCGCCCACCTGGCTGAGTTTCCCCAGCCACTCTGGGCGGCTCCCAATCAGTGTTAAAAACAGTACAGCGTTACATATTAAAAACTTCCCTGAACAAGGCTGCCTTGGACAACAAAACAACAACAACATTTTATTGGGACATTTGGTTTTTGAAATAAAGCTGGAAAGAATGGTTCCTTGTTATACAAGTTTCTTTGGTAATTCTGCCAAACTTAGTGGTTTGAAATCATTGGAAAATACAGCCTTCTTTCTTTCCTGGTGCACAAAAGAATATTTTGTCCAGGCAGGAGAAGGAAAAAAATGTAGATAGGTTGCATGCCAGATCGACAAGGAGGAAAAGAGTTGTGAAAGGGTGACAGCAAACCAATGAGGGAGAAATAAGATCTGCATTGTAATGTTCTAATTTGTGTTCCAAAATTTTAAAGGTAGGTTTATGCAATTTACTTAAGATACATATCTTTGTGGATATGTGATGCATACATACAAAGTATCTTGATTATCACTCCCAACGTTAGTTGAACACACTGAGCAATTTGCACTGGTTCTTATAATAACGCATTCTCTGGTCCCCTGTTTGGCTAAAAGATAGACCCTAGACTTCTTGTGTCGCACTGAATAACAGTAGCTAACTTCTATATACTGCTAAATTTCATTTTCTGTTCTGAGGAGTTCAACACATTTGTAGTATCTAGTGTCTTTTCAAGGTCTGCAAATGAAATTTATTTCCTTCCTTTCAGATTATTTCACTATTTTTGTTATTATTGTTGATCACCCTGTTGTCTTGCTGATCACTCAGCAGTCTTCCGCAAGACAATTCAAGGGTTTATTGAATATCGGGCATTATGTCTGATTTGTGAACATGAGATGCATTTCCTTCACACACCCTTTTGAAAGCACTTGATGTATTGTCCCTTAAAACTGGCAATGTGCTGTTAAATTCTGTTTGTAGTTTGCATTTAGTTTGCATGTCAATTGGACTCTAAGTAGGCACGCAACTCAGTGCGGACAGATGGTGTCTGGGAGGGTTGAAAACTCCATGGAGTATGAGGAAAGATTACCAGACTGCTGTGGGGGGCATCAATGAGGAAACAAAGACTTACGTTTGTATGAGCTTGGTGGGTTGGGTGAGGTTGTAGAACTGCTTAAAGAAAAGAGATGTCACACACACTGTTCCACAGCCCATCTAAGTGACCAGTTAATTTTATTTATTTATTTAGCATTTTCTGTTAACATTTCTAAACTGGCAACCTCTCAGCAGTGTACAATAAAATCAACGAAACACCAGAAAAATTATAAAATCATAAAATGCAGAGCAAATGACCAACACTGAATCAGATTAATTTGTGTTTAAATTCAGATCCAGCCCTATCTTCAAAGATTGTGGTGCACATAACATTTAAACAGATTAATGTGCTGAAAAAATAAATATACAAATGGTCGGGTCGGGGCTAAAGATGGATGTGTAATACATCCCTGTCCATCTCTAGCACAAAATTTCTTCTCAGGATTTTTTTTTTTTTAAAGGTCTTGCATAACTGCTACTCCTGTGAGGGACAGTGGAAATTATTTCACGTCTGTGCTTGGAAGTGGTGGTGAGAGGGCTGGTGCTCCAACATCTACAGTGGCTTCCTTTTGTCTTCCAAGTACAATCACACCTTCTGGTTTTGCTTTGCTCAGCCCTTTAATGCATTGAGTCCATATGACAAGCACAGTCTATACTAGGAATGGGGAACCTCTGGCCCTCCAGATGTTGCTGGATGACAACTTCCATCATCCCTGACCACAAATTATTTTGGATAGGACTGGTGGAGTCCAACAACATCGGGAGGGGTGCAGGTTCCCCATCCTTTATATACAACAGGAACTGAGAACATTCTGCCCTCTGTTGTTGTTGGATTCTGTTGTTGGATTCCAGTTCCTGTCAGGGGCAACCAACATAGGATGATGTGACTTATAGTCCAGCAATATCTGGAAGGCCACAGGTTCCTCGTCGCTGGTTTAAGCAAAGAGCCTTCTCTGTAGTGGCACCCACCCTGAAAATACCCTCCCATCAGATGTCAAGGAGATAAATAATTATACAACTTATGGAAGACATCTGAAGGCAGCCCTGTATTGGGAAATTTTAAATGTTTAATGTTGTATTTGTTGGAAGCCGCCCAGAGTGGCTGGGCCAACCCAGCCAGGTGGTGGGGTACAAATAATAAAATTATTAGTATGATTAATTATAAATAAGCCTCAGGCTGTCAGATTCCCCACACATATTTCTTTTTCACACATGAGAGGAGGAGAGGAAAAAGCTAAGCCTTAAAAGTAAGCTGCCAATCCAACCACAGTTAACTAACAGAAACCCAGATCAAACTGCAGTATGATGTCCTAGATATTCTAAGGTTAAAATGCACATTTCCTTTCCCCTTGTATCGCATGAGCAGGAAGAAAAGGGTATGCGTGTGTTGAAGCCCAAAGCGTAGGAGGCGGGGGGGATGATCTCAAGATTCATTTCAGTTGATACCTGAATAATGATTTTGTGTCGCCTTCATCAAGAAGTCTGGGGCTGAAGGGAGTTGTGCCCCTAAACATCTGGAGGGCACCAGGTTGGTGAAAGCTGATTTGGATTAATGTGAATGAGCCTGGAGATCACCCCCCTTAATAGTTATTAAAATGTGTTTGCCCTGTTTTCCATCTGTGTAGGACCATAAAGGTAGCTAAAAATGCCCTCAGCCACAAAAACACTTTAAAAGTTCATAATAAGTTCATAATAATTATAAATTTGAAAACAAGCCATCCCATCAGTAAAACTTAACAGGAAGAGCAACCAATGCTTTGCTGGTCAGTTATACAATGAATCTTTTTGACTGAAGAATTTTTTCCACTGACATGTTCTTGCAGCTGCATATTTTTAACCTGGGTTATACACCTGAGTTGTCTGTGTTTCTGGTCTTTTGTAATTACCATTTATGTCAGTGTTTTATGCCCAGGTTCACTCTGCTTAAAATATTATCTCCATCTTTGTTAAGAAAGCTTTGCCCCTTGAAAATGCCATCTGTTTGCAGTGTGGATTTGTTTATTTCAACGTCTATTCCTCACCTTTCCCCAAGGGCTTGAGGAAAGTAGCAATACTTAAAAAATAAACCAAGATAACACACCGTAATGAAATTCAAGATATCCTATAGCTGTTCAGTCCTGGCCATTGGATGACAACTGAAACAAGAAAATACAGTTTTTCCGGAAGCTATTTGGATGGTCTTGGATGGAGCTCTGTGATTCAGAGTGTCTGTTTGGCTCCCTCTCTATCTGGTTTTGGACTCCAGGTCAAGATGTTACACACTTTTGACCTGGATGGGAAGTAATGATTGGTCTTAATCATTTTAGGTTATCTTAAATCATTTTTTTAAAAACACAATATTTTATTAATGATATGTGCCAAGAGTGGTGGCTAATGCCCATTGGGACTAGTGCAATGGTAAGCAGGGGGGGTCAACAGTTGGTGGAGCCAGAGATGACAAGGAACCATCCCCTAACTGGTTGCAAGTAAGAAGGCAGGCAGATGAGGGCTTGTCAAGGGCAGTTCAAATGGACCAACGTCTATATGATTAACAGATGGAAAAAAGAATGGGCATCATTCCATACCTCCTTTTCAGCACCTCAAAGAAAAAGCCACAGATCTCTATATCTTTCTGGTCTCTCTGTGTTCCCTCACTTTCTTCTCTTCTTCTTCATCCTCTTCCTCCATCTCCTCCAGTGCAGACAGAAAAAACTTCCGACATTTTAAAAGTGCCCTGTGGCTCTATGTAGCTTCCCGTCCCCATCTGTTTATTTGTCACAGATACCACAAATTTTCTTATCACCCCACCTGCAATTTGCTGGGGAAAAGATCTGATAGATTATTAATTCCATGGAACAGTTGCAGTCTTGAGTAAAATGTCAGATTATTAAGGAATGAAAAAAATAACAATATTTAACTGATCCACAGCCTGTTTTCCCCCCACAGGAATAGATCTGCCTTTTATGATGATGCCCCACCCACTTCTCCCAGTTGGCCTACCTCCTGCTTCGGTGGCAATGGCTATGAATCAGATGAACCATCTCAACACTATAGCTAACATGGCAGCTGCAGCTCAGATGCACAGTCCACTTTCAAGAGCAGGAGCTTCAGTTATAAAGGTAAGGCTCCAAGCTTAGTTACACGATCAACATGGTGCAGCTCTTGTTGGAATATACCCTGGCAGCAAGAAGGGAGGACCTCATATTTACAAGCTCTTTTCCACACAGAGAAAATAAATACAGAAAAACTGGGTTTTCTCCTGAGATGATCTGTTTCTAGTTCAAGGGGAATGTCTCTCAGGTCAGCAAGGTTTAGGGGAGTGACTTGTCATGCATAGGTAATGTGCTCTGCAAATCATACAGCTCAGGGAAGTAGGAAGTGAAGTTCCAAGGTCCTAAGAGTTATTACACATATATGAACCCCAAACAGCAAAAATTGGAGCAATTGGAAAATGATAGAAACAATGAATGGAGTCATCTCAAGTACTTAGAGCACAGTGGTGATTACTGAGACCTTCCTTCCTTCAGCCTTCATGGGTTTTGTGTGTGTGTGTGTGTGTGTGTGCGCGCGCACGCACGCTAATTATGGTGGAGCCAACAGTTCCTGAGAGCAGCCTTCTCCTCTCCCCTGCCCCATAGAATGCCTGGAATAGAGTCATCATCCATGGCATTGTTGAAAACAAAAATGGCAGACTCCAGAATCAAGAGTGTTGTTGTTAAACGGCAGCCCAGAGCCTGCATCAGTCTGGGCCTTGCTGATGCTCACCAATAGCAGTCCATATGTCACTTCAATTATAATGTTTAAATGGGATTAATGCAATCAATAGATTGAATTGTGCAAACCCTATTGCAAGCTGTTGTATAAGTTAGTTGCTTCTCTGTAGTGTCAGAAGAGTCTGCTTCATGGGCATCTTTGAATGAGGTTATCGTGTGTGTCTCCCTCCTTGCCTTAATTTATCTAAAACAAAGCTGCCTCTCCCTGCCTTCACCACTACCCTGCTGCAAAATGTGCCTGCTCAGCAAAGTTAACATTTAGTACTCTGGAAAGAAATGTCATAACTATGAAATTTGATTTCATCTTGACAAGAACACTATACATTAGGAAGAGCTACAGTAGGCCCATTTAGAAGGCCTTCCTTGCCATCTTTAATCTAGCCTAATGTGATTAGCAGGTCCTACTAGCACTTCTGTAGTAAAGACTCTTTGTCAAAAACTCTACTGTAAATCCCTGCCTTTACAGTCCCGCTGAGGAAACTTCCTCTCTTTGAATCTTGGCTTGCCGTAAGTCATCCATGGGATCAGAATTTTAAACAAAATGTTAGCACTCCCTGTTCTGCAGGATATGTCTTTAAGAAGCGCAGAATGAACTGAATTGAGTGTAAGCTGGTTGTTGATTGTAGGACTAGGAATGGGAAGATTTCTCAATTCCCCAGTTCAGGAAGGCTTTGCACGGATGCTTGAAGCTCTAATGGAGGCTTCATCTTCTACACCATGCATTTCCCATTGTGGTTTAATCAATGCCTCTATCCAGGGAACTTTGGGAACTGTAGCTCTGTGGGGAATGGGGTCGCCTTACAACTCTCAGTACCCTCACTGTTCCTAGGATTCTTTGAGGGAAACCATGACTGCTAAAGGTGGTATAATAGTGTTTTAAATGTATGGTGTTGTTATGACTGGAGCTGTTACATAGGAGCCAGAGACTCCACCCCCTTCCTAACTCTCAACCAGAATCTGATCCATACAGGTGCATACAGTGGTACCTCTGGTTACATACTGAATTCGTTCCAGAGGTCTGTTCTTAACCTGAAACTGTTCTTAACCTGAAGCACCACTTTAGCTAATGGGGCCTCCTGCTGCTGCTGCACTGCCGTTCTCATCCTGAAGCAAAGTTCTTAACCTGAGGTACTATTTCTGGGTTAGCGGAGTCTGTAACCTGAAGCGTATGTAACCCAAGGTACCATTGTATATGTAATTATCTCTGCTGCTAAGTAGCCTTGCATGAAGCTACCTGGGCACTTCACAGATGGCCCTGAAGCTCCTGGCTCACCTTCTTCATTTTCCTTATGACTCCGGATGGAATGAGCCAGCCAGAAATTTAGGTAACTGGTGTGGAGCCCTCTGGGTGAAGTAATACCACTGTCATTGGTCTGAATCCATTGCCACGCATGTCTTATCCAGTGACTCCATTGTCATTGATGCCTAGATCTAAGGACTCCATTGTCATTGGTCTGAATTCATTTTCATTAATGATGCAGTAGGATTGCTGGCAGCCTGGAGATCTGCTGAGGGAGAGTTCATGCTCCCTCTGCTCCTCCTCTAAGGAAACCCTAGGTTCCAAGTCTGAACTTCGACACAAGCCCCAGTCCTAATCCCCACTCACTCATAAAAGTGAAGATGCTTAGCACTCAAAAGTGTCCACTAGTGAGCATGCCACCCTGTGACATGCAGCCACTCCTGCTTGTCTAGATGAAAGATACAGAGGGGGAAGAGGTGGGGAGGTAAACCCCTATCCTTTGCATGGTCTGGAATGTATCCTATTATTGTGCAAAGATAAGAGCCATATTTGTAGCTCGGCCAACCTTTTGGCTCAGACAGACTTTTTCTCTGTCACTGCATGAGGCAGGGCTAGAATTATTATTAATGGGTGGAAATTGGAAGAAAACACACTTCAGCTAAACATTAGGAGAAATATCATGGCAGTGAAATCTGTTTGACAGTGGAAACAGGCTGCCCTGGGGAGTGGTGGCTCTTCCTCACTACGGGTATTTAAGCAGAGGCTGGCCACCCGTCTGTCAGGGATACGAACAGGCAGGGTCCGCACCATCGTACATCCAACACACATTTAAAGCGCATGTCTTCCTGAGTCTGTCTGAGCCAAAATGCTTGGAACTGTAGTTTGTTAATTGAATTGTAGCTCTGTGAATGGGAAACTACAGTTCGCTGGGTTGGGGAGCCAGGTTCTGTAAATGCGTGTTGGATGTGCTTTAATTGTATGGTACGGACTGTTCCCATTGTTGCATTCTGCATTATAGATCCTGCACTCAGTGGGAGGTTGACCTCCAAGATCCCATGTAATCTTGAAAATCATTTGATTCTACGTTCATTTAAAAAAACAAACACTGGGGGAGGAGGCACTTTGATATTATGGCACTTCAAATGCATCAATATATTAGTAGTAGTGATAGTAGTAGTAGTTTTACTGATACACGTGCCTAATGGTAAGAACACTGCAGATCTCCCAGTTATTCAGTTTGCTGTGCAATCATTGTGATGGTATAGCAGGAGGAATCGATGCTTCTTCCTCGGGGATGCATGTTTGAGACCCATAAGTGCCAGATAACAGTTCTTCCAAAGCTCAGTGGTAGCTTCTGGTAAATAATAACCAATGCGCTGTGTTTGTCTTTAATGTTGGGAGAGCTATTTTGAGTTGCAAATCCACATGCTTTTCTGTAAAAGCTAACCTGGGAATATTGTCAGACCAATCGCTTATTAGCCTTTTACTGTGCTTCAGGTCCTTTTAATGTTGGCTCAGCCGCCAGCGTTTGTTGTTAATAACAAATATAGCCCTAATGTGGGCTGGAAATAGCATTAACGTCATTAAGCCTGGAAACATCATTTAATCAGTCAGACACAGCATCAAATAAGGAATGTTTTCATAGTAGGAAGGAGATTGCAGGGAGCTCGAGAGAGAGAAAAGCCTAATTAGTTTGAAGAAAGTGAACCATGTGATGGAAAATAATGGCTAGGCAAAAAGAAGGGTGGGCAGTGCATTTAAGATGCCTAGAAGGGCTTGCTTCACCCCTCCCAAGTTTACCCATGTAGATTTGAGGAAGGCAATCCTCAAATCTCAACAGGTACAGCTGACTTCTTTCTCCTCCTCCTTGTGTTTTTCGCAGCCAGAGGCAAATGGGACTTCCAAAGCAATGCTATAAGGGTGTGGGGGGTTTTCTGGCCTCTTGAATCTCTGTGCAGAGCTTGGGGATGGGGTGGCCATGGCAGGGTGTGGGTGTTGCAACATGTCTTGAGCTCCAGTTGAGTCTCAGCTAACAGCCTCACTATGCATTCACCTCCCCTGCTGTTCCTTCACTATATGATCACATGTTTCTTTGTTTCTTGCTATTATTTTGGAGTCCTTTTTGAATTTTTTAATTATTTCATGCACCTCTACAAATCTTGGAGTTCCCCCAAATAGGCAGATATCTCACCAGTGGTTTCTCAGTAGCCCAGTTTTTGGCTTATAATGCTGTTGGCATTGGCTGGCTGAGTTCAGTATTAGTTGGAAGGTCTCTCCCGCACCAGCATTTTATACACAGAGGAGAGTTTGCAGAGGCTGGGAGGCTTTCTAGCTTTCTCTCTCTTGACAAGGAAAATGGAATGGGCAGAGAAACAACCACTAACACTGCCTCACATCAACCAGTCCTCCTTGCCATAGTCTTAGCAAAGAAACTGTTCATCATTTGTTCCAGGACCTTGAATTCAGTACTTCCTTACAAAATAAAATTGCTTTCCAAGAATAAGCCTATTAGAACATAAAGCTGCAGCTAGCCTACAAACTATTCAAAATGCTGATGGACAGGAACCCACCCAATTCCTATAATTTGCAAATGAGCAAAAACGGTCTCCCAGCTGTGTGATGGGAATAGTGTATATACTGGATTTCGATACTTGCTCTTCACTGTGCACCTAGTTCTGCAGAGACAGCTGGAAAATCTTCTAGATTATTTTCTCCCCAAGGGATTGCAGATGCCACAGAAGCAAACTTGGAACATACTAAGTGCCCTGCTGGACCTGAGCAAAGCTCCAGTTTCATATGTTCCACAGTGACCAACCAGATGCCAAAAGGAAATTGCAGCAGGGTGTGCAGAAGGAAGATGGTGTTCAACTCAAGTTTCCACTTTTCTAATCCATGCCACCCCTGCTGAACCCATCTGTCTGTTTGATGGGATTTTATCACATATGTTGTTGACTGACATATAATGTAGTTTGACTATTCCTCCAAATGAGGAGTTGGGAAACTGTGGCTCTCCAGCTGTTGCTGGACTGTGACTCTCAGTATTCCCAACCATTTTAATTGCTGACCACAGCTGATGAGAGTTGTAGTCCAACAACATCTGGAGGGC